GAGCCAACGTGGGGTGCTGACGTTTTGCTTCCTCTGAATTTATGGCAGCGTAGCGGCGGATGGTGAGTTCTTGAGTTCCCTCTTCTCCCATCCCATTGGCTTCCATTTCCGCTTTCTGTCCCGTCTCCGCGCCTCTTCGCCGCAGCGTTTTCTCAGGTTCAGATAGGATGTGTTCCACGGATGCTGGAGCCAGCCAATGGGAAGTAGCGAGACACCAAGATTGTCATCAAGGATGGGAAGGCTGGTGGGAAGGAGCGCTGAAGGGCTGGACTGTCAGTCAAAGTAACGTGGGACCAGAGCAAACATGAGAGCTAGAGGTACCCTGGAGGGTGCAGCTGCAGAGAGGCATTGGGCTCCAGTTTGCAAAAATCCTGCCACTTGTTCACTTTTTCCTCTAATGAAAATCCTCAGATCTCCGTAAAAGTACTCCATAGACTAAGCGCATACTTTTTTTTATAAGGGGGAGACAGGGTAGCTCTTTGGTATTTAAATTCCCCTCTCCCCCCTAAAAAAGGTGCTGGTCCCTTGTTTGATGCCACTCTAGAAAATAAGGTCGCATTCAGATATCACTGAAGTTTGTTTTTTTCCTAGAGCTACCTTTTCACATTTTTCCTAGAGCTACCTTTTCACATTGGATCTCTGGTAGCGTAGTGGTTACGAATCTGGCTGCGAACCTTAAGGTCAGCGGTTCGAAACTACCAGCTGCTCCGCGGGAGAAAGATGAGGCTTTCTACTCCCGTAAGGATTTACCCCCTCGGAAACCCTGTACAGGGTCGCTATGGGTCGGAACTGACTCGACGGCACTTAACAACAACAACCTTTTCACATGGCGCTGTGGATTAATGAACCAGACTGCAAAGCCGTTTGAACTGCAAGGTCGGTGGTTCAAGCTCACCAGCTACTCCTCGGAAACCCTGTAGAGGGATTCAAGGGCACTTCACAACAACAACATCCTCTTCACAGATGCACGAGAAAGGTTAGAAAACGCATAGTGCGTAGCGCTTTGGCTGGGTTAGGTATGCCAGCCGCAAAATGCCCACCCCGCATTGTACCCTAAATTGTAGGATTTCATTTTTATTGGAGGATTTCAAACTCTGCAAAAATGTCGACCTGCCTTCGTTTGGCGGGAAAGATCTTCAAGGTGCAACCATAGTTCCGCTTATAGCGACCTTGTATAGGGTTTCCAAGAAACGTCTGGTTGTCCGACCTTCAATTTCTTCATCACTGGCTTTAGTGGTTGGTGCGTAAATTTGAATAATTGTGGTATTAACTGGTCTGGCGTGTAGGTGTATGGATATTAGCGGATCGCATAGCTTTGTATATCTAGACAGGTCTTGATAATTCTCTTTTAGATGATGAATGTGACGTCATTTTCATACCTTTTCAATTTGTCATTCCCGGCGTAGTAAATCATGTTACTGTCAGATTCAAAATGGCCAATACCTGTCCCTTTCAGCTCACTAATGCCTAGGATATAGATGTTTGTGCATTCCATTTCATTTTTTACACTTCCCAATTTTACTGGATTCATACTTGGTATATTCCTTGCCTAATTATTAATGGATGTTTACAGCTGTTTCTCTTCATTTTGAGTAAGAAGATTACAAGATGTGTAGTGATCTCTTTTCAGAATACTTGAGGAAAATATCCACAGAATGTTGGCATGGCAGGCCTAGGGCTTGTGCTGCCTCCCCTCTGAAGTCACACTAGGGACTGTGCTCCTGTTCCTTAAGCACATAAATTCCCACTCAGAGTGGGAACACATCCTTGCAGAAGTCTTTCCATCGTTGCTTTTCTATATCACAATGCACACAGTATGCTAAGCACTGGATTTTATAGAGGAAATGAATCCAGTCACCACCTCCTCCTGGCTTACTGGGGTGTTTAGTGATTCTGGATTTCTTTAGGAACCAGTGAGCCAGGGCTATCCCACAGTTCTCGATGCCATATCATAAAGAATCTACGCTTTCTGCTCTTGTTCTAGCTCTTGGCTTCTCTGTGGTAGGTCAGAGGAGGGTGCCAAGGTTACACCGTCTAAGTTATACTAGGTGACTGGAACACAGAAATCCATCCCATGTGCCCAGGACAACATCTTTGTGTTTTTACTTCCCAATTCCCTCCTCCGAGCCACAAATCTCACTGGTCCCTGAACACTAGAATGACACAACTATTCTGTTTCTGCATCTCTAGCCCATATTCTTCCTCGGGCTCCAGGTGTGTAGAAGTCTATCTGGTATTTCTCAGGCAATTCTAGTATTCTAAGAGCCCCTGATTCATACTCATGTTCAGCAATTCATCGCCTTTTCTTGCCAATCTAGGTTCTCAGCCAGTCACCACTTCCTTTGTTGTTGTTGTTGTTAAGTGCCACAGAGTCTGTTCTGACTCATAGCAACCCTATATAGCATTTCCAAGAAACAGTTGGTGAGTTTGAACCACCTGCCTTGTGATTCAAACTGACCTTGAGATACAGTGCTTTATCCCATATTGCTACACCAGGACTCTACCTCCTTGGTGGTGGTGGTGGTAATGTGCTGTGGAATAGATTCTGACACATAGTGACCCTACATAGGGTTTCCGAGGATGTAAATCTTTACGGGAGCAGAAAGCCTCATCTTTCTTCTGTGGAATGGCTGTTAATTTTGAACTGCTGACCATAAGGTTAGCAGCCTGACTTGTAACCACTATGCTACCAGAGTAAAAACTTGGTAACGTCCAGAACACCACCTCCTTGTTGTTGTAAATGCCGTAGAGTTGGTGCCAACTCATAGCGATTTTCGAGATTGGCTGGTGAGCTTGAACCACTGACCTTTAGGTTCAAACGCACTTTGCACTCCAGCGCATTAATCCACACTCTTGTTGTTGTTGTTGTTAAGTGCCATTGTGTCATTTCTGACCCATAGCGACCCTGTATAGGGTTTCTGAGGAGAGGCTGGTGAGTTTGAATCACTGACCTTGTGGTCAAATGACTTTGCAGTCCAGCACATTAGTCCACAGTGCCACACCGGTCCTCCAACCCACACCCTTGGGACCTAATAAAAACTTGGTAACTTCTAGAATCTCTACCTCCTGCTTTCAGGCATGCTTCTCCATACCTCTCTGCCTAACTCCTGTCAGTTCCTCACTCCCCTTTCTTGAGTCTTTGCCCATAATTTTTACATGTGGGGAACATCTCTCCTTCTGATTCACAGAGTACACCCTTTTTAACACTATAGTCTTTCTACCTAGCATCTTGTGCTTTCATGAAGTGCTTGTGCTTCTAGTCAAGGGCAACCTGTCAGCTAGGACCCTCTTTTCCATACGAGGGCACGGTTCCAGTACTTACACCTTTCGTCTTCTGCATCATCAGTTTATTCTTCTCAGTTGGATCATTTCCACATGTTATATCTAATATCTTTTAAAAATCTCTCTCTGGATCCCACTTCCCCATCCAGTGAGTGCCCTGTTTTTCTACACTTTTGTGAAGCAGAACTCCTAGAAGGAGATGATTGTACTTGCGACCACCAGTGCTTTCCTTTCATTCTCTCTCAATACCAACACAGTCATACCTTCACCTTCACCTCTCAATATTACGAATAATCTCTGTTGCCAAATCTAGTGATGAGCTCTGAGCCCTCACAGCTCTCATCTTACTTGTCCAGTTGGTAACTTTTCATGCATTTGATCGTTTTCCCTTCTTGGCTTCTAGTATACCACACTCTACTGGTTTTCTTTTTACCTTATGGGGTGCTGCTTCTGAGTCTCAGTCTCCTTTATTCCCTGGTTCCTCCTTTTCTCTGAAATTTCTTAAATCTTGGGGATTCATAGAGCCCAGTCCTTTTATATCTTATTTATGCTCACGCCCTTGATGATTTGATCCTGTCATGGTTTTAAATATATTCATCCATGTTTTTCCTCTCCCCATCAAATTTTCCTCTCCTCCCCTCCCCTTTCTCTCCTTTTCTCTCCTGTGTCTTCTGGAACCTTCCTGATGGTCATTTAGGTTGTATGAAGAATAGACAATTGGGAGTATGGACTCAGGAAAAAGCAAGGAGATTAGGTATGATGTTACTACAGTCATAGTTGCAGCAATGCAGTGAGAAGGGTCAGATTTTGGATTCATTTTGCAGGAGGAGACAACAGATAGTACTGGCATATTGAATGTGGATGGTTAGGGGAAATAAGACGACACCGTTGCTTTTGGCCTGAACAACTAAAACAATAGAGTTGCCATTAACTGATGTGTAGGATACGTTATTTTGCAACAAGTCTGGTGTGATTGCGTTTTTGTGGAGGGTGGGAAATCAGGAATTCACTTTTGTATATTTGGAGATGAATATTGGACATCAACTATATATGCTGATTAGGCAACTGGGCATGTGAGACTTTCTACCTCAGGAGATTATAAACTCTATGGAGCAAGACCTGTGTCTTGATTACTGCTGTGTCTTGCATAGTACTTGGGACATTGTTGAATGTTTCAGGTACTTTGCTGAAGACCCAGCTCAAGGTCATTTAAATTTTGTTCCTTCTGAGTTTGTCTTAACCAACTGAGTACTTCCTCCTGTGGAAAACTCCCCTACTGGATAACCACTCCCCACACTCATGCAATGGTTTGTCTTTAAACTCTAGACTATTTGGAACAACTATTGTAATAAATCATGTAGGAAAGGTTGAGAAACTGAACAAAGACAGTACGAAGAGAGGACAGTAGCCAAGTTGAGCGATAGCTAGATGACTTGATGCATGGCCTGAGCAAGATAGTAGGTGAATAGTGACATCTAACTTTCTCTGATGTTAGGAAATAGTCTGGTGGGATAAAGGCCTAGTATATGGGAAAATTTTTAATTCATTAGTGATATTTTTGTGCAAAGTTGGTTTGAACCTCAAGGTCACTGGTTCAAGCTCACCATCTGCTCCTCGGAAACCCTATACATTGTTCCTATGGGTCAGAACCGACTCGATGGCACTTAACAACAACAATCTTTGAGACAAGATGGAATTTCTCTCTGGCTGTTGGCTGTACAAGAGCACTGGTAGTGCAGTGGTTAAAGTCTTGGCTGTTACTGAAAGGTTGACAGTTCAAAGCCACCAGTTGCTCCATGGGAAAACAATCTAGTAGTTTGCTTCTGTAAAGATTTACAACCTTGGAAATCCTATGGGGTGGTTCTACTCTATTCCATAGGGTTGCCATGAGTCAGAATTGATTCAGTGGTAATGGATTGGTTGTACAGTACAGAGCTCCAGAGAAGACTTGGTCAAAGAAATTACTTTGGGAACCATCAGTTCATAAATAATAATAGAGGCTTTGGGCATTGTGTAAACAGTTATGCCCATTTCCCAGATGAAGAAATGAGGACATAGAAATGTTAACATGTCAAATGGCAGAGCTAAATTCTGAACCCTGATGATCTTCTACATTTTATCTCTGTGTATTAGACCTTAAAACCTGCATCCTCCCCAAGGCTCATACATTAGGCCCCAACATTAGAAAAATATTTGCTTGTAATGTTTTCCTTCAATTGTGCTTTTACTGCTATGTGTCTGTTTATTTGTCCTGAATTCATTCTCTGATCCCTTCAGTCAGAAGTTTTCTTCTGAACTCAGCCAAACCTTCTGCTGAGCGGAGCAAGCACAGTCCTGTGCTGTTTTACCATGGCCTCTTTCAGAGGTCCAGGGATTCCAGTCTTCCTCCTAGGGCGATCAGTGTAAGTGCAGGGTCGCTTGGGTCTTCTCAGGAGTTCCAGGGAATGTGAGCATGATGACCACCCGTGAGAGACCCAACTATATGGGCAGAACTAGTGAGACTGCTTTTTTTTTTTTTTTTTTTTTTAATGGAGAAAAGATTGAAGTTGTCAAAGACTTCATTTTATTGGGCACATCAATGAACACTCATGGAAGCAGCAGCTAAGCAATCAAATGAGGTATTGCACTGGGCAATACTTTAAAGCTATAAAGTGTTCAAGAACAAAGGTGTCATTTGAGGACTAAGGTATGCCAGACCCAAACCATGGTATTTTCAATAGCCTCATATACATTTCAAAGTTAGACAATGAATAAGGAAGACCATAGAATTGATGTATTTGAGTTAAGGTGTTGGAGGAGAATATTTAAAGTCCTATGAACTGCCAGAATAACAAATCAATCTGTGTTGAAAGAAACACAGAGTTCTCCTCAGAAGCCTGGATGACTAGACTTTGTCTGTCATACTTCGTTTGTCATGCTTCGTACATATTATTAGGATAGATCAATCCCTGGGGAGGGACATCATGGTAGGTAAACTGGAGATCAGTGGAAAAGAGGAAGACTCTCAAAGAGATGTGTTGATATAGGTAGCAGCAATGGGCTCAAGTTTAGCCACATTGAGAGATTTGTTCAACACAGTGTTTCATTCTGTTGTGCGTGGGATTATTATAGTTGGTAATGACTCGATGGCACCTAACAACAGCACTCCCAGCCATTGCCATTCAGTGTATTCTGATTTGTTGTTGATGATGGTGTTCCTCATAGAAATCTTGTATATGGTGAGTAGCTCTTGGTGAGTGAGTCTGAACTGCCGACCTTGCCATTCAAACCTACAGCACCCTAACAGGACTCCTTTCTGACTCTTGTTGTTATTGTTAAGTGCCACAGAGTTGGTTCAACCCATAGCTACCCTGTATAGGGTTTCCGAGGAGACGCTGGTGAGTTTGAACTGCCAACCTTGCCGTTCAAACTGACTTTGCAGTCCAGCACATTAACCCACAGTGCCACACCAGGTCTCCTTCTGACTCATGTTGTTGTTGCTAAGAGCCAATGAGTTGATTCCGACCCATAGCGACCATATATGGGGTTTCTGAGGAGTGGCTGGTGAGTTTGAACCACTGACCTTGTGAATCAAACCAACAGTGTGCATTAACCAGTGCATTAACCCACAGTGTCATACCAGGACTCCTGACTCACAAAGACCCTATAAGACAGAGCAGAACTGCTCCCTAAGGGCTTTTAAAAAATGTTTTATTGTGAATTATGTGATCGTTTACATGGGAGAACATTAGTTTTACATTCACCCTATCTTATATCGTTTCATTGCCATGGTTACAATCCCTTTCATGCATTATCAACCAACCAAAGGGTATACCCTGCAAGCCTGCCCTAGCCCCAGTCATCAGCACACAGCCCCTCTCCCTCTCTGGGTCTAAAATCCCCAGCCGCTCCATCTCTCCCCGTCATCGTCTCTGCCTCCATCTCTGGCACTACTGCTTCTCCTGAGGCTGCTTTTGGGGGTGGATTACTCACCTGGTGATGGTACTGGGGAGGGGCATAGCCTAGGCTGAACCAGAGACAGTAAAGAACTCTACTAGTCCCTGTCTGGTAAGCTGAGAGGTCTCCTAAAACAGGCTTGTAAGAATGTCATCATTTAGTCTGTGTTAGGGAGCATGTCACTGGGCTTCCTAGTAGCTGTTTATAGATCACAGCTTGCTATTCAGTCACCCTAAGGTTCCCCATTTAAAGGGTTAAGGGAATTACATGTTATATTTCCATTAGTAGGAAATATATTGCCTTGAAATAGAAAATTGTTGGACATTTCCAGAGAGAGGCAAAAGGGCCAGTGTCCTATCTCAACTCTGAGCAGCTGAACCAGTTATTAGAGAATCTTGCTACAGTACTTTCTAGATTCCTGACCACTTGCTGTTTAATGGGTAGAACATTTTCCAAAAGCCTTCCAGGTCCTTCTTTTGGCAGTCAAGAGAAGTGATTGTGGTGCTTTCTCAAATGAAGTGGAACGTATGAAAAGGCAGGGAAGGATAATGGGGAACTAGTTGGAATTGAGGGAACTGGCACTGGGAAGGTGTTATGGTGCAGAGCTTGCTGGGGTAAAGGTCAGGAGCCATCCTCTGAAGGGAAGGCAGGTCCTGACAGGGAATATGGCTGGTTGAGTTCAGAACTTTTACTTAAATATGGAAGTACAAGTATATTCAGGAAAGCAAGGCAGAAGGAAAGGTGGAAAAGGACCCTAGCTATAGTGTAAACTGAGACAGCAGGTCCACGGCCAAGCTGGTGGCAGTATCTTCACAAGGTGGGATACATCTAGAAAATCCCTTATGTTTTCCATGGTTCTCCTCCAGAAACTCACATTACACCCTGTAAGCAGACGGGAGCTTAAATGTACTCACCTCATTTCTTCAAGAACATTCAGGCCTTGGGTTGGTTTCCCTGCTCTGGGCTTTTTCTTTGTGCAAAGGAAAGCACTTTTCTTCCTTATCATTCCTAGTCAGGAACTTCTCATGCTGTCCTACATAGCCACACCTCCATCTCCATTCTCTCCCTACCTGCCTCACTGGAGGGTGGAGGACAAACACCTTTCTACCTCCTGTGCTCATTCTAGAAGATGGGAAACAAGAAACAAAACCTCAGCCATCTCCTAGAAAGACCTTGTCAGTACCAACAAGGAGCAGAGAAAAGAGATTCTCTAGTTTCGTTTGACATCTGTTATGTTAACTGATTTGGCAAATCACAAAAGCACCTCCTTAAGGCTGGAGTATTGTGGCACTCCCCTAAAAACCCTTACTCCACTTCCAGATTGTGAGTTGAGATGGTTCAATAATGCATTGGTTTGCCAACCTGTCCTTTTGTTCAGTGTTATCATGCCACATCGCTCCTCTGGGGTCTAAGATTATCATGGGAATCCAGGATTGAATTCCAGCCTGACTTTTACCTTCTATGTACCTTAGACAAGAGCCTTGCCTTTTATGCTCAATTCCCTTTATCCACATTCCATTGTGGAGCTGGGAGAAGTTGTTTGGAAGACTGACGGGCCCATTTGAAATGTGGGTTTAAGCTTTTTCCTTAGATTGAATGAACTTTCAAATCTCTCTCATGCACTCTTTTAACACAGCACAGTGGAGACAAGAAGGAGCAAACAGACACTTCTTTGCTAAGAGATGTATTTGGAAGTGGCACTTGGTCGGTCCCACTTGCATTTTCGTGAAAATCACAACTTAAGTCCTCTTCAAGGTTGAGAACCTACAAACTCTCTTAGAATATACTGGACCTTCTCTTTGAAGAGACTGGTGTTTCCCTCTGACATAAGGGTTGGGACCTAAGGTGGGTTTCCTTGTTGGGTGGCAGAAGCCACTCGAGGACAGTGCCGAGGACAGTGGCGGGGTTGACCCAGGACTGAGGCAGAGTGGAGTTGATGAAAGCGGTGCCAAAGCTGATTGTCCTGGGTCTGGGGACCATTAAAAAGGGTCAGGCCCGCCTGCTTTTCAGTGGGGGAAGGTTGGGCCTTGGAGTCCCCTGCTGTCTTCTTTGTTTTAGCTTGCCCCATAGTGCCTTTGGCTCTGGTCAAATTCTTCTCAGCACTTTTTCTTCTTGTTTTGGTCCCTGTCTTTACTGGAGAAAGCATGGAGCCGTCATCTGCTTTGCCTCTTGTCTTGAGATTCATGCAGTGCAGAAACTGCTTCATCTTACTTTTGATGCCAGATTCTGAAAAGCTGGGGTTCTTGTGAGTATGAGCTGTTATCATTTGGCCCTGAGGCTGGTCCTGTGAAGCATAGGACACCACAGGCGGGACAATCTCATGAATACTTACCGGCTCTGTGATGGGATTCAATTTGACTTGACTATTTTTCAGGTCATTCTCAGATTCTTTCCCTCCAGGCAGCCCTGGAGGAAGCTCTAGGTGCTTAAGCTGAGCACAATGATGGGAACTCAGATGACAGGAGGCAGCAAGATCAAAACTATGGCTCCTTCGCCTGGGTCCTCGGGGTGCCTTGTTCAGAGATTTCCCTGCAGGCCTCTGGTCTTCATCAGGTTGTCTGCTTCCTTTGGTTGAGGTGAGTCCCAACCCGGCATCCCCTTCTCCCTGGTCCCCAGCTGGTTTGTTTTTTTCTGGGTCCTTTTCCTTCTCTGCCTCTGTGGTTACTTGAACTGAGTCCTTGCTCTTGCCAGGGCCTTGGGACTCAGGGCACCAGGCTTCCTTCAAGCTGGGGCTGTTCACTCCGTCCTCTATCTGAACACAAAGCACTTGCTTATCTGTCATGTTCTCACTGGGTTGTGAGATCTTAGAGACCCAGTGGGCATAACCATGGGGTGCTGCTCTGTAACTAGCTTGTTTCTGGCTCTGCTGAGCTGCCTTTAGCTCAGTGGCCAGCTGTTCTTTAAGGTGGACCCACTCTGGATCTGGGGCATGTGGAATGTCTGTTGGGATTGGGAATTCTTGGAGTGATGGTTTTCCTTCATTGTTTAGATTCACAACTGCCGTTGGTATGGATATGTTTTCTGGGATTGCGGCAGTTTGGTCCCTGGATTCCCTTGCCTTCATGGGAATTCCCAACTGTATCTCTAGGATCTTTTTTCTAAGATGGAAATTTAATTTTGTTAAAATGGATGCCCTGAACGGGTGTGGACTATCAGCCTCTGTCTTGCTTTCTTGAGGCACCATCTCCACTGGTTTTTCCTCCTGAGCTTCAGTCAGGAACTCTTGGGCACTGTCTATGCAAGTTTCATTGTCGACTTGAAAGGCTGGCCCAGTGCTTACACACTGCTCTTCATACATAAGCATCTCAGTCAGAGGCTCTGTTGTGATTTCTGCAGGCTCAGGCATTGTCTTTGCGATTGCAGATTGGGTAATGGTTGCTGGTGCCATGGCCTTAGAGAGAGCAACATAATAGAGAGCAGGCAGTCCTGACAGGAAGGCCAAATATTTGTGTCTTAAAGCTGTCTCTAGTTTTTGAATGGCTCCCGTAGGCAGGCACTGGGGTAGCTTAGTGCATTCCATGGCAGCACCTGGTAAAGTCTGCTGCTGCTCTTCAGTGGCTGTTGGCATGCAGGGTGTAACTTTCTGATGTAGATTAGTGTCAGCTGCTTCCTGCAGGCGTGGAATGCAAGGGAAGGAAGGCCCTGCCAAGCTCCCAGGAATTCTGCAGTCCCAGGAGATACACACACGTGTAGGGACGCTGCCCTGGCGGATCTGCCAATATTTGGAGTTGATGTGGCTCTGCAGTATTGACTTGGCCTGGGCGAGACATGGGGAGTGTGGCATGAGGAATGACACTGGAGCCAAAGTGGGTGAGAATGGGTCACTAACTCCATTGGTTTGTGGGACTGCAGACTTGGGGACACTTGCATTGTCCAAGACTGAGCTGCTCCAGGGTAGTTGCTGCTGGTCAGTAGGAGATAGGAACAACTGGATGGACTGCTTGATCTTCTGGGGCAGGCCCCAGTGATGGTAGATCAGTTGTTTCTGGAGGTGGAATTCCAGCAGCCTCCGGGCATGGTCTGGGAAGAAGAGGAGTTCTCTCGGGAGAACTGACACAGACTTCCCTGACCAGAAAGCCTCCATGGTCTCAGGAGATTGGGCTGTGTCACAGGCCCCATACTTCATGGGTTTCTGAGCATGCGGAGGTCTCTGGAAAACAGGTGACAAATCCCATCTCCGCTGGAGCTGCTTCTGCAGCAGGTGCCACTCCAAGACATCACACTCGGCCAGAGTCAGAAATGGGACATGGATCTGGATTTGTTCATGGTCAGGTGGAGAGACCCAGTTTGGAGTAGGTGGAGAAGAAGGTGAAACTGACTGGGATAGATTATTAGGCAATAGGGGGAGGAAGGAGGGCTCATTGAAGAGTAAAGGAACATTCGAGGAGGTCTGGGACAAGCTCTTATTCATGGAGAGGCCTTGAGATCCCATGAAGTTAGCAACCAGGGACTCACTGTGTAGACAAGGGAGGCCACAGAATAGCTGGCTGTAACTCTGCTTCAGAGGATCCCTTATGTCTTCAGTCTGTCCCCCAGGTTGTGGATAGACCCCGTTTAGGATTTTATGGGCTGGAGAGGGCAAAGCTAGAGCCAGAGGGTTTGAGGTTTCCTGGCAGTAGTGACTTTGCTTTAGGTCTATAACAGACCACTCAGAAACCCAGAAGGCCTGGGTGGGCTGGCCAACTATACATGAGCCCCAGGTCTCATAGGAAATGGTTCCAATAGTTTCAACGCAGACACTGGAATCATGCTTGATAAAAGAAGTTGGTTGGCTTTTCCCAGGCTGGTAAAACAATGGTGGGTCTGGCATAAGCTGCTTGAAGGACTCTTCCACACGTCTGGGGAGGCCCCACCTCTGAAAATGCACCCACTTTTTAACATGGATCTCAAGAAGCCCGAGGACTTCAGGACTGAGGAATGGCAGGTGGGGAGATAGGACAGTGTCCATAGGCAAAGCCAAAGGATGTGTCAGATTCGTGAGCTCTGTTTTTGGGGATAGCAAATGGACATGGGAGTTCAAGGACTGCTGATCTTCATCCCCCTGGACAAATTTGTAGCTGGTATTCATCATCTCTTGCTGGTTTACAGGAAGTGTAAGCTCCTCAACCCTTGGAGGAGACATACTTCCTGGGTCCTTGGCCACATCTGGCAGTTGGAATTCCTGCTTTAAGCCCAGGTGTTTAGTCCAGTACTCTCCGATGTCGATCATACCAGTTGACGGGGCACGTGTGTGGGTTAGAGATTTTTCATCTGTTAATTGTGATAAGGTAGGGGTTACAGATGCCATGGAAAGCTCCTTGTAACGCAGCTCAACAGTCTGCTCAAAAGAGACACTAGACACCGACAAAACCGCTAGGTTAGACGAGGGCTGTGTTGCCCCCGCGTTAGTCTTCTTTTCACTTGCCAGCAATTGCTGAATCTCCAGAGCCACATCATTGCATATGTGGCAGCAGCGGTCTGCACACAGGAGCCGTCGTACTTTTCCCTCTTTTGGAAGCCAGTTCTGGCTGAGAAGGGAAACATGGCAACTGTTAGTGACACAGTGTCATTAGCCTTTTTAGATTACAGTGGCTGACAGAACTGGTCCTACTCTCCTTTGGGCCTATAAGCCCTAGGTCTCCCTCTGGGAGGCTACACTTTGCTTTTCTCCCTAAGAGAGTGCCATTCAGCAAGTTAGGCCTGGCAGAGCAGAGGGTTTAGGTCTTTTGGGGGCAAGGTATCAGAGAACCCATGGGTGTGCAGGACCTTCTGAGAGACCTGGGAGGTGGGGTCATTTCTCTGGTGCACTGTGTTAAGAAACTGAACTAGGAGCCGGGGACCAGGCACATGAGGGTGTCAGGTGGCTAGCAGAATGGACAACACCCTGGAGTCAGTCTTGTTTGAAGCTACACTATCAAAGTCTGCTATTCAGTGTTTCCAAACTGTGGAAAACAAGATTCTTGTGGGAACTCTGCATTTTGGGGGTTATGGGGTGTCCCTCTGCTGTACATGGTATCTTTCGTAAAGCAGAGCTATTCTCTGGAGATCTTAATAGGATGTTATGATCAGCTCCTGTCTGAGGGCTGTCCCAGGAACTGGTTTCTTGGCAGACAGACCTGAGGAGGTAATGTTTTTAAGGTCTGGCTAGAGTTAGAGTCCTGGTGTGGTGCTGTAGGAGCCGCGCTAGATCACGAGGTCGATTTGAATGTAAAGTTTGGCAGTTCAAACTCACCAGCCACTCCTTGGAAACCCTATACAGGGTCGCTGTGAGTCAGAAATGACTCAATGGCACTTAACAATAACAGAGAAGACTCCTGGTGTGGTGCTGTAGGATCAGCACTGGACTGCTAACCACAAGGTCAATGCACTCCTTGGAAACTCATAGCTATGAGTTGGGACTGACTTGATGGCACTAAACAACAACAGAGTTAGAGAAGACTACTTCGAAAGGACTGCAGAGAGAATATGACAATGACTTATTTATGCAAAATCTATTAACTGGATAGCTTGTTTCATTGCTAAGGTCAACCCCACATAGATATGCTATGAAGTATGAGTCCTGGTGTGGTACTGTGGGTTAATGCGCCAGACTGCAAAGCCAGTTTGAACTGCAGAGTCAGCGGCTCAAGCTCACCAGCCACTCCTCAGAAAACCTATACAGGGTTGCTATGGGTCTGAATCGACTCGATGACACTTCACAACAATATGCACTAGTCAATGCCTGAAATCTAGAACTAGTGTGGCTCTAGTAGTAAGAGCAGAACTGAGAGATTCCTCTTATGGGATCTCTGACCACTTATCCCTGGCAACTCTGTCTACCCAAGGAAGTAGCCATTATTCCTCTCTTCATCCCTGTCCCGGGTCAAATTGGGAAGTTATCACAGGCCAGCATGGGAGTTGGGAGACAGTTAAAAGCAAATCACCTTTTCATGACAGTGAGCAGATCCCCTGGCTTCTCCGCTTCTTTCCGGAAATGTCTCCTAGCTGAAAAACCAGGAGACAGTGTTAGGTGTGATAGGAGAGGGTCCCATAGGAAGCTAACTAGGAAGGCTTTTGATTCTGAATGAGGGCAAACTGAAAATTCCAAGTCAAAGTTTAAGTTGTACATGTACAAAGCTTTTACAATGTGCTGGCACATAACTAAATTTATTTGATCTTTACCAGCACAATGTGTGTGAAGCAGGATTGTCAGTGTTGTGTCCATTTTCTGGGTAATAAGACTGAGAGATTAAGTGACTTTCACAGGGTCAAAAAACTAGTAAATAGCACAGTTAAGGACTTTCCCCCTCTCCTTGCTTCTCATGCCCAGGGAATAAAGTACAGGATTTTGGAACACTCCCTTGCTCTGATATCCCATCCAAGGAAGTTTCTGTGAGAAGGCATCATTTGTGGAATTGGGACCTTGGTGGTTAGAGCACCTCAGTCCTGGCACTAAGGGTTGAAGATGACTGGGATCCATGGGACTACACCCACAGTGAAGGGAAGTAGGAGGAGAGATTGGGCTTTACCTCTTGGTATTCCATCTCTAGGTCTTTGTCTGGCTCTTTGGTGTCGCTTGAAGATAAGAAAGAGTGTGAAGCTTGGATACCATTTTTTAAAAACATTGAAGTGAAATAAAACCCATAAACATTTCTCAGTTTCTTTCTGTAGATCTTTTTGTATTTTAGGTTCTTCTACTTTTCCTTTCCCTAGTCCACCCTTTTTGGAAAAATGATTTTAGGGACTGTAGTAAATTTACTTACTTATATAACAAAACACTTGTCATTTTAGCCATGTTTAAGTGTACAATTCATTGATATAAATTGCATTTACACTGTTGTACAGCCATCACCATGATCCATTTCCAAATCCCTAGTCTACTTTTTCACCCCAACACTTTCCTTCTCTGTTTATTTCTGAGTCACTTAAAAAGGCTCTTTTATACCTCCCTTCAGCTCATACTCAGGAGAAATTCTGTGGGGCACTCAGGATGACATAGGAAAAAGAATGGAACAGATTAAAGGGTAGATGGCTCCAGCAGCCAAAGACTTCAGCTTACAATAACCTTAAAGAACCACCAACCAGAAAAACCATCCTAATGAAGGAGGTCTTCTGAGATCCAGTGAGCTAGCTTATATCTTTGAGGTCTCACCCTCAAGCCAGGTAGGGATGTTCTTACTTCCAAATAGAGTATGTTGCAGGAAGAACCTTGTAAGGACCAGGATCTGAGACACAAATGACTATAAAAGGCTTAGTATTATTGTTTTTTGTTTTTTACAGGGTTGGGGAGCATAAGTGATAAGGATAGAAACTGAAATGTTCAAGCCTCCTGTCTGAGAAATAACAGTTCAGTAGTGATTAGGATGATTCCTTACCTGGCAGTGACTCTTGTTAGGTTCCAACTTTAATCCACTGTGACTCCTTTTCACTTGACAAATAAGTAGGATAATGATGAAGATGGAGCCATAGGTATATATGAAATAGCCAATGTCCCACAAAACCAGTGTAGGACTTAACATGGTGTAAGCCTCATTAGCACGAGACCAGTCATCCCTCAATCTAAGCATTCAGGGTGCTGGTGCCTAATGACTTCCAGTGTTAAACCTGGTCATCTCTGCGTCTCAGGTTATGGAACTAGAACATAAATGGCATCACAAAGGCTTCCTGTTTTGTAAGGCAGGTGTGATGTCAAAGGCCTTTATTTGTCTTAAAGAAGCTCATGTGGTGATTCAGTCTTTTGATGAAGACATTTGGTTATCTGTGAAGGTTACAGAACCTGCAGCTAAATGTGCCAAGGTTATAGGCAGTGTCTATGCACTTCCATTCTCCAGTCTCTACACCCTACTCCAGCCTGATGGCTCAACTCTCTCTGTTACAAGAAGTTTGACCACCCATCCCCAAGAACTGAGTATTTCAGACACCTTATAGACAGAGTAGCTAGGACAGAGGAACCTCCACCGATCCCTTCACCTGTACTGGAAACATACCTGAAAAACACACATGGGCTTAGGGCAGGCAGAGTCTAGGTAGGGCTTGAAACTGGAGAGCTTTGCTGTTACAGGTAATGAGTGGTAGATAGAGTGTCTGGAAAGGGACCAAGGCTGGCATGACAGGAAAAAGACCAACGTCTTTAAATGACGTTGTGGTAACAAAGGAGATGCTACCCGTCAGTGTAAATAGAGAGAAATAATAAACACTCTTTCCAGGGAGGCACAGGCATGAGCCTCACTTCTGGAGGTCTAACCCCTGGTTTTCCAGAGTTGCCTTTACAGATGTTACAGCCTTTGCCTGCTAGGGAAGATGACTACCTGCAGAGATGGATTAGTGGCCACTTTCAAATGAGGGCCACAAACTGGTTGTTGCTTGGTTGGATCTACTCATCTACTCTAAATGTATGCTGATTGATTGAAGGAGATTCCCCCGCCCCTTTCTTTAATTATAAACCTTTAGGCAGGACAAGTGTTTTCCAGCTCAGTCTGAAGACCTCGTGCTCTTATACTCCATGGGAAAGTCTTCCTTTGGTAAGAGCAAAGAGGCTATTTAGTTCTTTGTCCAGCATCCATTCAATATGTGCCCTGCCCTAAGCTGGGCAGTGTCAAAGGGTATCAAGCTATTGGAGTCATGTTGTTGGTCTCAAGATACTTACAACGTTTCAAAGACAGGACCAATTTACATGGAGCAAGAGATGGCAATTGAGAACTAATATAACGCTGCGTCTATTCGTGAGGTCCAAGTTACACACTTCACATTTCAGAGAAAAGAAAATGTAGCGAGGATCACAATGGGCAGAAAAGGCTCTAGAAGAAGGCAGCATTAGTCCTGAGATTAAAGGCAAAGGCAAGAAACATAGACACAATGGTAGAAAGTGAGGAATGGGCTCTAGGGGTCATTTGACAATGAGAAATGCAGTGTGTTTCTACTAGAGGTGCAGTTGTAGATTGTAGACTTGTAAGGAAAGACTAGAGGGGAGGGATGAGGTCTCTTGATGGAGGGCCTTGACATTTCTTTTATTCCAACCACTAAATCGAATTGATTTTTGGCAGCAGCCACACCCATGCATGGTACAATTTCAAAAGGTACAAGAAGGTATTTACATCTCCTGGTACTTTTTCCCCATCTCCCAGTTTCCCTCCTGTGTGTGTTTCAGAAATAGTTTAGAATCTGAAGTATAAATCAAATGATTTATTTTTCTTTAAAAGTAGAAATATATGATAGATAATGTCTCCTCTTATTATATTTTGTACATATTTTTTTAAAATGACTACCCAGTCTTTTTTTGCTGTTATAATTGAAAACATCACTTAAAAAATCCACTGTCAAGTAGATCCCAACTGTAAATCTTATTGGGAATAGAAAGCCTCATCTTTCTTCTGCTGAGCTGCTAGTGAGTTTAAACTGCCAACCTTGAGGTTCTACAAGACCACCAGGGTTCCTTACATCTATTTAATTTTATTTTATACATATTTGGTTTTGTCAATTTTCAGCAATAAGCATTTAAGTGATTTTCATAAAATTAACCATTCCTTCCTTATGGCGCTTCCTCAGAAGTTTGGAAATAGGGATACCTTATGATCCAGCAATTCTTCTACTTAGGATTTACCCACAAGACATACAAGCCATAACACGAGTGAATATATGTACACCAATGTTCATAGCAGCACTATTTACCATAGCAAAAAGATGGAGACAGCCTAAGTGCCCATTAACTGAAGAACGGATAAACAAACTGTGGTACATACATACAATGGAATATTATGCTACCTTGAAGAATAACAAGGAAGCTGCAAGCCACTACATAACATGGATGAACCTTGAGGACATTATGTTGAGTGAAATTAGTCAGTCACAAAAGGAAAAATACTACATAGTACCACTACTGTAAAAGACTAAATAAAAGAACCCATACTAAAGGTGTGTGTGTGGGGACTCTTTGCTGGCTACCGGGATATGGGGAAGGGGTGAGGGGAGGGAGGGGAAGGTAGAGCACAGGGTGCAGAATAGAAACAGAATAGCTTGGGTGCTGGGGATGGGGGCAATACACAAGAAGAGGGAGAGGAATGGAAGAACAAACCGCATGGGAAAACAGTTAGGCAGGTTTGCGTGGGCTAAGTGCGACAGAGGTAAGTAATGGTGTATGCACAACCTTGGAACAACAGGGCACTAGGATACAGGAATTGAAGCATGGTTGGAATGGGCAAAAGGGAGGAAACAAGATGCTTGGCTGTATTTTGAATCTTGGTTTCACTTGCATACCATTATAAAATAGACACGAGAGGGAGAGAAAGGAATAGCCAGAAATATCATCATAGAAAGCTTGTCCTCTGACTATAACTGATTAGAATACCTAAAATGGGGCTACAATCTGCCCAGTGAAGGAGGCTTCCTGTGGAGTCTCTGCATTACATAAGACCATAGGTGGAATCCTGAACCCCATCCAGAATCTTCTGAGTTGGGAAATTTCCACTTGAAAGGACAAGCTGACCAGCCTGGAGTGGCTAGAAGAACAGAAGATACTTCTTGAAAGAAAGATTGACAGGAAAAATACAAAACAATAAAGGTGGTCTGACTGACTACTACAAGAACAGGCAAGTTGCTTGCCCAGGAGACATCAAGGCAAGTGGTCGGGTCCCCTCAGGGCAAACCCCCTCCCAAGACTAAGATTCAATGGGAATACATGAGCAGACATGTGCTCTGACTGGTGACCACGTTGGTCACCAATAAGAGGAAGTGAGGGGAAAAACAGGAATGAAGCTGTGAGCTAAGCCCTAACACATTCAATAGACTCCTGTGAACCTGGGTGGAGACCTGGTTGGCCAGCAGTATGGCAAGACCTTGGGACTCCTGGGCCCAGAGTCAGTGACATAGCCACAGAGGACTAGAGTGGAGTGAAGCATCCAGCTGATAAGAAGTGAGAGCACATGCACAAGAACACCCACACTTGCAGATAATACCCACTTGAATTGGAGCTCAACTAGAAGAAGAAAGAAGAGGGAAAAAAGAGTAATCTGATACAATTTGATGAATTTGACCTACACCTATGGATGCAGTAGCTCAAAAAGAGGGAACAAATCTTTACAGTGAGGATCATTCCCACCCCCTTGATACACAGAGTAGACAGGGATGGGCAACTTGGATGTTGGCTACCCAAAATGGGGGGCTACAAAGGCAAGAAGTGACTGGCTTACAAGCTTTCAAGAGGGAGTCTAGATCCAGAGGGCATGGAGGAAGGTAGAATCTCCACTGAGTAGTATCCAATCTGTCTAGGCAGGGATGATGAAAGAAGATGGGGATAGTACTCATGTGAAGGTAGATGTTTTGTAGCAAAAGGAGGGGAGTGGTTGACTTTGTAGTCCAGGAGTGGAGGTCCCTGGGACCATCAAGGGAAAAGAGTGGAGTGTGGGACCCTATCCAGAGAAACAGAGATGTCAGAGATGGGGGCAGAGATGATGACATGGAGAGATGGCGCGGCTAGAGACTTCAGACCTGGAGAGGGAGAGGGTCTGTGTGCTGATGACCAGGGGGCAGGCTTGCAGGGCATATACACTTTGGTTGGTTGACAATGCATGGAGGGCAATGAAATGATATACAATAGGATAAATTGTAAAGCTAATGTTCTCCCATGTAAACTATCACATAATTCACAATAAAACGTTAAAAAAAATTTAACCATTCCAAAGGGCATAATTCAGTGGTGTATGTAACCACCACCTAATCTAGTCCTAAAACATTTTCAACACCTAAAGAATATCCCACGGAGCCCTGGTGAATGGTTAAGTACTTGGCTACTAACAAAATGGTCAGTGGTTTGAACCCACCAGCAGCTCTATGGGAGAAGGTTGTGGTACTCTGCTTCCATAAACAGTACAGCCTTGGAGATCCTATGTGGACAGTTCTACTCTATCCTATAGCATTTCTAGGATATGAACTGACTCAATAGCCATGAGTTGGTTTGTTTAGGTTTTAGTTATTATTAAATGTCATTGCTTTATTTCCTTAAATATTCACAAGGGATGCCATGTATCTTATTTGGAGTTTGGATAAATTTTTAAAAAGTCAAAACCACACTAACCCAAAGCAGACCTACCCATTTGTTACCTTTCAAGGTGCTCACCTGAATGAAATCCTATGATTTATTTGTTGTTGTTGTTAACACTTCCTAGAAGTGGCTGGTGGGTTTGAACCACTGACCTTTCGGATAGCAGTCTAGTGCTTATCCTACAGAGCCACACAAGGACCCCTTGAAAGCATGGAATTAATACTATTTCTTTTTGTGTCTTTAGTGCCTCTCACACTGCATTGTTTTAGTAAGAGCTGCTCAAATTATGAAGGAATGAACGTAACTTAAACCAGCTGCATAAATAATCCTGGGTCCCTTATTCTAAGTCTTAAAGAATATAGGGAAGAACCAATGAAAAACAGGCATAGGAAACTGAACGCTTTTGTGTTGCTTGTTGGGAAATTCTCTATCAATAAGTCAGACGCTGGTCTAGGTATATTGCAGAAGATTGCTTCTGTTCTT